CCTCTTCCTTGAGTCCCAGACCAGCAGCCCTGTGATCTCCTTGGTGCCTTTCCCTGGATGTCTCCACCAGATTCCATGCTGGCCTCAGCATCTCCCCAAGCTGGTGTCCCCACCTCAGAAATGTCATATTTTCTGGGGCCCCTAGAAGGGTATTGGGCAGGAACACCACCTCCCAACTCCGGGGGCCTCACACTCCCCCTAGCAGTTCATCCACACTCACTTTGAAGGAAGGTGATGTCAGGTGCTGGCTTTGCGTCCCCAGACACACAGCTGACCACGTACTCCTCCCCAGCTACCCACGTGACTGTGCTCCCTGCCTCAGGGGTCAGCTGAAGCATCTTGGGGGGCACTGGTGAGAAAGGGTCTGGGGTAAGCCGACACCACCGAGAAGGATATGAGGGTTTGGGCTTTGAGTCTCATTGCTCGTGAAATTAGTTCTGTAACCTGGATCTGAGGAAGGAGAGGCTGGGGGCTTGTACTCCTGGGTCCTGGGGTAGGAGAGGACTGGGAGTACAGACTCATGGGTTCTGCGGGCAGCGGGTATCTCTCACCCATACCCAGAACGGAGAGGATCACTCTGGGAGACACGAGCTCAGGCCCTGTCTCTGAGCGGCCGACCTGGCACTCATACTCTGCATCATCACTGAGGTCACATGCTTCAATATGCAGGTGGAATTCACCTGCAGGTAGGACCCAAGGTCAGGGCCACAGTCAGCTTCTGCTGACAGCTCAGGGTCCAGGCTCTGATCCCTTACCTCTAGTAGGGTTGCCTTCCAGGTGGTAGCGTGGGAAGCCAGGGATCCTAGGGTCGGGACCTAGGAGCAGTCCATCTTTGGCCCATTGCACGGTACTGCCAGGGGCACTGACCCCACATCGAAGCTCAGCGGCAGCCCCCTCAATCACCGTCGTGTTTTCAGGCAGAGCCCAGAAGCCTCTGGAGGCTGAGGCAGGGATCTGCAACTGGGCCAGGCCTGGGGACACAGAAAAGTCAGCAGGAGAGGACAGAGGGTCTGTCTGGAGAATGTGAGTGGGAAATGAGGGCGTCTTAACACTAGACCACAAGGCCAGGATCCCACTTACCTGTGGTCAGCATTCCCATGAGGAGCAAGGGAGCCCAGATGGGGATCCTCAGGGCCACTCCATGCCCTCTGTCTGTGGCTCCTGCAATGCCCACTGGCTGCCTCCTGTGTCTGCCCCTGGCTTTCTCTGGGTCCCTCTCCCTATGTCTCTGTCTCTTGCTTTTCTCTTTGTCTCTCTTTTGCCATCTGTCTCCTTCTCTTTCTCTGTTTTTCTTTCTTTCCATGAGTCCATCTCTCCCTCTCTTACTCTCTCCCTCTCTTTCCCCTTCTGTCTTTCTATCTCTCTCCCTGCCCTGAGTACCTTCCACTCTACCTTCTCCTGTCTTTCTCTCTATTTCTCTCTCCCTAAGGTGCACACTCATTCTCTCTGAGTTTCTCTCTCCTTCCCCATAAGTCTCTACTTGTCTTTCTTCTCTCCTGCCACCCCAATCCCTGCTTTCCTTTCACCACTCACAGCCCCCCAGGGAAGACCCGCTGTCAGAGTCCAGCAGGCTCTACAAGCCAAGGAGAGCAATGAGGCCGATGAGGTCAGTAGCAGAGCTGAGCCTCATTCTGGGACCCAGCCTGATCTTGTCCTTGCACTGCTACCTTCCCGAGACACCCTCTCAAGTCTCCAGCTCCAGACCTCTGTGCAGCAGGCTCCTCCCAGCCCAGCTGGAGCATGAAATCCCCTGTCAGCACATGCCAGGCATATTCCTTGGTGCCTCCCCAGCCCCCATGACCCCATGAAGGAGTGCAAGTCAGACCCAGGCAGTCCCAGCTCAGCATGGAGAGCAGAGAGCTGGGCCTGGCTCTTCCCTGCCCTGGTACATGACCTTGGCAAGTCCCTTCCTTTCCTGAGTAAACATTACCCCCTCAGTGACATTAGGAATGTCGCCGGGGAGTGTGCAAGAGTGTGTATGAGAGACTGGGAGAGTGCAGCTATCTTTCCCTTTCTGTGCACGTGTGTGTGAAGTTCATTGTGAGTGAGCATTCGTGTGAGTGTGGGGAAGGTGAGTGAATTGTGATCTGTGAAAGTATGTGCAGAGTGTGTGAGTGTATATGAGTGTCTAAGGTGCAAGTGTGCAGGGGACAAGGCAGCCAGCGTGGGTGGGAATGAAAGGTAGTGTCTAAGATCACCAGCACGAACTGTGCCAGGGTGTAGAGCTGTCAGCACTGAGCCCAGCTAGGTACCCTATGGCAAGGGCCTTGTGAATTCTATCTAATTCATGTAACTTCCCTCTGTCTTTCCCTGTCTCTTCTGTGTCTGTCTCTCTCCATCTATCCATCTTGATTTATCTTTCTATTTTTATTGATTTTTTTTAGAGAGAAACATCAGTGTGAGAGTGAAACATCAGATTGACTGCCTCCTGCACAGCCCCTATTAGAAATTGAGCCCACAACCTGTGCATGTGCTTTGACTAGGAATTGAACCAGCACAGGACAATATTGGTGCACAGGACAATATATAACCAACTGAGCCACACTGGTCAGGGCTTGATTTATCTTTCTATCTTTCTCTATCTGAGTTTCTTTTGTCTCCATGTCTTTCTCTATTCTCCTTTCTCTCCATTAGGTGGTTAATCTCAGTCAACCTTTAACTATGTCTCTCTCTCTCTCTCTCTCTCTCTCTCTCTATATATATATATATATATATATATATATATATATACACTTTTCTGTCTCTGTTCTCATCTCTATCTCCCCCCACCCCCAACCCCATACTCTCTCACACACACCAGGAGCTCAATAAATATTTGTTCTCAGTCATCCTATGACTACACCTGTTTGTTTTATTTGTTTCTCCTGATTGCCACATCTTTGAATTTTGTAACCGTATGTTGGTTGATTGGCCCTGCCCACCCCAGTGTGCTCATACATGCTCACATAGGATAAGCTTCTTCTGCCTGCTTATCTCCTGCAAGAATTGGGACCCCCGCCACAACCCCCTATATGATCCTCCTCCAGGAACAAAATGAGGCATCTGGGCTGAGCCCCTACAGTTCCATCCTTGATGCTGCCTCTAGTCTTTCTTCTTCCCTCCCATATTAAATCCTTGCACTCCCACATTTTCTCTCCCAACTGCCCACACCCCCTAGGGAATGGGCTGGATGCAGAGCAGGAGTTTCTGTCATAGGGCTCCTCACCAGATGGTGTCCATCGAGGCCAGGGTGTAGAGCTGTCAGTTGCTGGGGCCTTTAATTAGCACAAACCTTCCACACTCTACTTTGACTGTTTTCCTTCTCTGCATGCTCCTGGGACCTCAGGCTCTTCATCTTTCCATGCCTGCAGCCCCAGAGAGCCAGGAAAGGGAAGTGATATCAGGTGTCTAGAAAAACAGCCTTACTGCCTGACTTGTCCCCAAGCCTCAGGAATGCTGGCCCCAAGCTCATCCTGTTTTAAAATCCAGGTGCTGGATTCCCAAATCAGAAGCCAGGAGTTCAGGCCCCCCGACCAGAGTCTGGGCCACCAGGATTCACAAGCCTGGGTCCCAAGGATCCAGGACTCAGGAGTTCAGGCCTGAAGCCCCTTCTCCCCACATTCCCAAGAGATAAGTCCTCCCCCCACCCCCCCAGAATTTAGGGTAGATGTTCACTGTCTATTGATTTTCAAATCCTCCCCCTGGGGTTGTGTAGGGAGTAGGAGAGAGATAGGTGCTTAAATCCACTGACTCTAAGACTTAAGACCAGATTTTCTGACCCCTGTCATCCTCTCCCAACTGCACCCTGCTGCAGGCAGAGGACCTGTTTGAGTTCCCAACTTCTCAGTCAACAGAGGTCTGCACAGCCAGTCTTAGAATCCTGGAAGTCCAAGTCCCCGCTACTTAGGGAAAAACTCAATATTCTGAGCTCAGGAACAATACACAACCTGAGTATGGACCCCCAGTCCCAACAGGCTCAGGAACGTCAGACCCAGGTCCCAAGCCCACAAACGCCCCTCAGCCACCTGCCGGGTAGCTGCGCCGCGCACTTGCCAGCGTGCAGCGTGAGAACACCCCAGCTGGGCTGCATGCAGCCGTCAGGACAAGCTGCGAGGTTCCCAGCCTCCCTGCCAGCCCCGACCCAGCACCGCCGCCTCCCAGCTGTCGCCCGGCAACCACAGCTGAGTGGGGCGAAGGGCTGAGCCCGGACTGCGGGGTCTTGGGAAAGGAGGGTTTGTGAGCCTGGATTCCTAGATCTTAAGACGTGCGATGGTTTGCGGCAGTAACTAGGCAGGCAAAGGGTTATTTTGAAGAGGGGGTTTGAGGCGGGGAGAGCAGAAGCCCCCTCTTCTCGGGGGTTCCAGCTGTCCCCCCTCCTCCCCAGCCACGCAGGAGCCCTCTTCCTGACCTGTAGGCTCAGAGGAGCCCCGAGCCCCGCCTCCTCAGGGCGCAGAAACTAGCGATGCCCCAGGGGTTCCCATTTATAGCTCGATTTCCACTCAGCGCGGTCCCTCCAGGACCTGGGCTGAGCAACTTTCTTCCACTCCCTCCCCTCACTTCTCCTCACCCCCGTGCCCCTGCAACCCCGGCAGGGTGCAGGTGTCCAACCCAGCCGAAACCCCCTCCTTCGATCCAGGTGTTCCGGCTCCCAGATCCCAATAGGGGTGGGGCACCCGCCCAAGAGGAAAGCCCTACTCCTCGGCCTTTTGGTCGCGGAGTTTCTTAATGGAAAGAGGGCGGGGCGCGCCGGTGCCTAGGCGAATGAGATCAGACCCAGCCGGGGTCTCAGAGATGCAGCGAGCGGGATTCGCCTGCGTTTCAGAGCGTCGGAGCCAGCGGCTGAGCAGATTTGGGAAACTCCAGGCCAGGGACAAGGGTGCGCCTCGCCTGGGGTGAATGAAGAGTCGGGCTCGAAGAAGGTTCCAGGCTTGAGTGGTGGGAGGTGTGCTGTCCAGGAAGCAGTTGGCAAGGAAGGCAGTGCTACAGCAAGTCTGCTGCATCTTGGGGGACACACACTCAGTATGCTGGTCCCCGCCCTCCTCGTCCTCTTATTCTGCCTCAGAGCGCGTGCAGGTACCTCGAAGGGCGGGGGAGGCGGTAAATACGGGGAGGGTTGCTTGCCATTTCCCGCTTTTACTGGAGTGAATGGGGCTGAGGGCTGGGACTCCTGGATCTGAGGGAGCAGAAGTCTGGGAGCCTGGCTTCTGGGTCTGCGGGAAGAGGTGTTTGGGGACTGAACTCCCGGGTTCTGAATGAGAGAACTCTTGAACATGCTATACTCAGCTCTGCTCCCTTCTTCTCCATTCTCCTAGGCCTGTCACCCCACTTCCTGCAACAGCCGGAGGACCTGGTGGTCCTGCTAGGGGACGAGGCCCGGCTGCCCTGTGCCCTGGGCACATACTCGGGAGTGGTCCAGTGGACTAAGGATGGGCTGGCTCTAGGGGGTGAGAGGGACCTGCCAGGTGAGGCTGTTCTCAGTTCTCAGGGAGGGGCTGGGCTTAGGCTGTAACTGAAGTATCTATTTTGACATTTTCAAGTTTGGAAAATTAATGGGCTCAGGTAAACATTTGGGTGTCCTAAAAAATTTTGTTGTTGTTGATAGTCACCCGAGGATACTTTTTCATTGATTTTTAGAGAGTGGAAGGGAGACAGAGAGGGGGAGAGAGAGAGAAATATCAATTGGTCGTCTCTGGAATGGGCCCCTGCTTGGGTGGGGGATCAAACCTGCAACCCAGGTACATGCCCTTGACCAGGAGTTGAACCTGTGACCTTTCGGTCTGACACTCTAACCACGCCAGCCAGGGCTGTCTTGAACTTTCAGTTTATACTTTGGGGATGATCCATGGGGTTTGAAGATTTTAATTTGTATTGTAAAATATTACATAAATACAGAAAAGCATATAAAACATAAGTAGAAGATTTGCCAAGTAACTATAAAGTAGACACTCACGTAACCATTACTCAAGTCCAGAGCCCTTCTTATTCCTTTCCCCTATCATAACTCCCTCCCTCTTTACCCCAGGGGTAGCATCTAATCTGCCTTTTATGGCAATTGTTTTCTGACTTTTTTCTCTCTGAATTTATCACCCCCCCAAGTTTGAAGTGACTCTGAACTGGGAGAGGGTTAGTGTCTCCCTAGCTCAGCACCCACTTTTGGGATGGGAACAGGAACTCAGAACAGTGGTGTGACTGCCTCTTTCTTGATTCCAGGGTGGTCCAGGTACTGGATATCAGGGGATGCAGCCAGAGGCCAGCACGACCTTCACATTAGGCCTGTGGAACTAGAGGATCAAGCGGCATATGAGTGTCAGGCTACACAGGCAGGCCTCCGCTCTCGACCAGCCCAGTTGCATGTGCTGGGTGAGGGTCCAGCCCACTCATCTCCCCAGGGGTGCCCAGAGGGATAGCCAGTCCTAGCTGGGAGTATCAGAGTCCAGGGAGCACAGAGGAGTGGTCAAATAGAGCTGGGAAGATCAGGGTCTCTGGGCCCAGAATCCAGCTCTGACCCCAGATCCATCCACAGTGCCCCCAGAAGCCCCTCAGGTGCTGGGCAGCCCCTCTGTGTCTCTGGTTGCTGGGGTTCCTGCAAATCTGACCTGTCGGAGCCGTGGGGATGCCCGCCCTACCCCTGAGCTGCTGTGGTTTCGAGATGAGGTCCAGCTGGATGGGGCTACCTCCTATCAGGTCAGATGCAAGTCTCTGTGCCAGCCCTTGTTTATTCAGGGAAATGTGAGTGTTCACTAAGACTACAGGCTCATCCAGAGAAGAAAAGGGCATGGGAGGGCAGGGGTTAAAGGGTTGGGACCCTTGGTGTATGATTAAGGGTGAGGACTCTAGGTCTGGACTACCTGGCTCCATCACTTCTTAGTTGATTGATCTTGAGTAAGTAATTAACTTAACCTCTTCTGTCCCTCAGTTTTCTTATCTGTACAATGAGGATAATAGTATGTACCTCATAGGGCAGTGATGGCGAACCTATGACACGCGTGTCAGAGGTGACACGCGAACTCATTTTTTTGGTTGATTTTTCTTTGTTAAATGGCATTTAAATATGTAAAATAAATATCAAAAATATAAATCTTTGTTTTACTATGGTTGCAAATATCAAAAAATTTCTATATGTGACACGGCACCAAAGTTAGGGTTTTTCAAAATGCTGACACTCCGAGCTCAAAAGGTTCGCCATCACTGTCATGGGGTAATTGTGAGGATTAAATAAAGCAATACTCCCTGTGCCCAGAACAATGTCATGGGGTAATTGCGAGGATTAAATAAAGCAATACTTCTTCTAAGTGCTTAGAAGAGAGCCTGACACATAGTAAGCACTGTATTAGGGGTAGATAAAATCATTATTATTATTAATAACCTCCAGACCCTGCTGAAGAAAGGGACCATCGAGTCCGTGGAGAGCATCTTATCCTTTACCCCTTCCAGCCATGATGATGGAGCCACCTTGGTCTGCCGGGCCCGAAGCCAGGCCCTGCCTGCGGGAAAGGACACAGCTATCACACTGAGCCTGCAATGTAAGTGCATTGGACGCTGGTCCCTGAGCCTGGAGTCCTTGGTGAAATAGGGGCCTGGGACCTGAACTCCAGGGTATGAGGAAGGAGGGAGCTGTGTCTGTAGTTCCTGAGGGAATACAGAACTGGAGGCCTGCCTGGACTCCTAGCTCAAAGGGAAGAGGGAACTGGAGATCCACACCACTGGGGTGGAGGGGTTGGGAGTTGGACTCCTAGGTCATCAATGAAGGTCCTTGACCATTGCTGACTATTGGCCCACCTCCACAGACTCCCCAGTGGTGACTCTGTCTGCAGAACCACAGACTGTGCAGGAGGGAGAGAAGGTCACTTTCCTATGCCAGGCCAGGGCCCAGCCTCCTGTGACGGGCTATCGGTGAGGATGATCACCTCTCCCAAGCCCAAAGCACTAGCTTGGAAAGGGGTGGAGCTGGGACATGAGTAGGTGAGCCTGGGGAGCAGAGACAATACTAACAATCCCACTACCTCCACAGGTGGGCAAAAGGGGGCTCCCCAGTGCTGGGGGCCCGAGGACCATTGTTGGAAGTGGTGGCCGACGCCTCATTCCTAACTGCGCCAGTGTCCTGCGAAGTCAGCAACGCCGTGGGTAGTGCCAACCGCAGCACCGCACTGGATGTACAGTGTGAGCCAGGGCAGGACCATGGATGTGGGCAAAGTGGGGCCTGCTGAAATGGGCAGGTGGGGCGGGGGGTGTGGAGGATTGAGTGGGGCATGGCTGTGATGGGCTGTGGAAGGTGGGTGGGGGGGACATAAAATGTAGGCAGAGTTTGACTGTGCTGGGTCAGTGCCAAATTGGAGCAGGGACAGGGGCAGGGCGGGGCAGGGCATGTAAGCAGGGTTGTGGACCAGGGGCCTATACTTTCGCCCTTGAGGTTGCCATTTCTTTCTTTCTTCCTTCCTTCCTTCCTTCCTTCCTTCCTTCCTTCCTTCCTTCCTTCCTTCCTTCCTTCCTTCCTTCCTTCCTTCCTTTCTTTCTTCTCTTAATAATAATTCTTTTTTTCTTTAAATATATTTTAATTGACTTCAGAGAGGAAGGGAGAGGGAGAGAGAGAGAGAGAGAAAGATAGAACCATTAATGATGAGAGATAATCATCAATTGGCTGCTTCTTGCATGCCCCCCACTGGGATCGAGCCCACAACCCGGGCACGTGTTCTGACCTGGAATCGAACTGTGACCTCCTAGTCCGTAGGGAGGGCTGGGCTGGCCAGGTTGCCAAATCTGAGTGGCTGACCCCAGGTCAGAAGTTGCAGCCCTCCCGGTCATGTGACCTTATCTTTCCTCTAGTCGGGCCGATTCTACAGGCAAAGCCGGAGCCTATGTCCGTAGACCAGGGGGAAGAAGCTTCCTTTAGCTGTGCCTGGCACGGGAACCCGCTCCCACGGGTGACCTGGACCCGCCATGGGGGTGCACAGGTAAGGCCGTGTCTGGGGCTAGTACTGCTGGCAGGCAGTGGACGGAGCTTCCTCCCAAGGTTCTGCCCCTGATGCCCCTTCATATCCCAGGTGCTGGGCTACGGGCCCACGCTGCGTCTTCCCTCGGTGGGGCCAGAGGATGCAGGCGACTATGTGTGCAGGGCCGAGGCAGGGCTCTCCGGCCTGGGGGGCGGCGCTGCAGAGGCTAGGCTGACTGTGAACGGTGAGAAAACGGTGCTTCCTAAAGGACTGGGATGGGCAGAGCGGACGAAATGGGTGTGGCCTCCAGAGTGAAAGCTCGATAGAGGCGGGCCTGGGGTCCCAGTGGGATGTGGTGAAGGCGAGTCTCCGCGGGGCTTGGAGTTTGTTGAGGGGCGTGGCCTGGTTGGCTGGGGTTGGAGTGCCTGGCCTGGCCTTATCGAAACAGACTTTGGTTGGGAGGGTGGGGCCTCTCCTCTGATTGAACCACAATCTCCAAACAAGCTCCCCCAGTAGTGACCGCCCTGCATTCATCGACTGCCTTTCTGAGGGGCCCCGCCCGCCTCCAGTGTCTAGTCTTCGCCTCCCCCGCCCCAGAAGCCGTGGTAAGGAAATGTCCTTGCTTTCATGACCCACTGAGCTATGACCCACCCAGCCAGACTCCCACAACTGCATGACTACCTCTGACTCTCCCAACACCCTGGCTGTTTCCCTCCCTCCTCCCCAGTCTCCTCTGATCTCCTTTTGTGTCCCAAGGTCTGGTCTTGGGATGAGGGCTTCCTGGAGAAGGGTTCCCGGGGTCGGTTCCTGGTGGAGACGTTCCCAGCCCCGGAGGGCCGAGTTGGACAGGGTCCAGGCCTGATTTCTGTGCTACACATTTCGGGAACCCAGGAGTCTGACTTTAGCCGGGGCTTCAACTGCAGTGCTCGTAACCGGTTGGGTGAGGGAGATACCTGGATCAGCCTGGGCCGTAGAGGTGAGACCTGAAGCCTGAAGACCCCAACCCCCAAAGGCTACAATTCACAAACCGAGGACCTCCAAATGCAAAGACCCCTAAACCCTTAGAGCCTCAAAACTATAAGTCCTTTGAATCCTGAGACACCCCCAAAATAAATGACCTCAAATACAGAATCCTAAACGGAGACACCCCTCACATTCTGGTGCCCCCAAAATGGGAATCTCCAAAGTTAAAATCCCTCAAATTCTAAGACTCCCTAAAGCCAGGGAGTTTACTTGTGAAACCCCAATTTCATAAGCCCTTAACCCCAGGGTATTATAAATCTTGGGTATCTCCAAATCTGGCAACTTTTGAACCCAGAGACCCCAACCCAAGCCCTAGTCCTGTTCCCCAGTTCCTCCTCAGACCACCCCTCTTCTCCTTGCAGATGTGCTGCCTACTATGCGGATTGTGGCTGGGGTGGCCTCCTTGGCCACGACTCTCATTATAGTCATCACTGGGGTGGCCCTCTGCTGCTGGTGCCAAGGCAAGGGTTAGTACCAGAGCTCTACTCCAACCCCCTCAACCCCTCCCCCCCCCTGCCAAACACACACACACACACACACACACACACACACACACACACACACTTGCCCTGCTCACTGACAGGTCCTCAAATACAGAATCCTAAAAGCCTGGCCTTGGGACCTGGCCCCAGTGCTGCCTCTCTAGCCCCTGGTGGAAATTGGTTCACCTTCAGGACCTGGTTCCTTCCTGAAGCCCTAACTCCACTTCCTCAAGGTCAATTACTACTTGCCCTCCCAGACCAGGGCTCTCAGTGGTTTCTAACCTTCTAACCTAATCTTCCCAGTCCTCTCTCTTCCTGCTCATTGGTCTCCACAAACTGTGACCCTACCCCATTGCTTATCTCTGCCTCCGTCCTCCCACCCTCACCCACTGTCCTTGGCCTCAGCCTCTTTCTCCAAGCAAAAGAACCGGGTTCGCATTCCAGGCAGCAGCCATGGTTCCAGTTTGCGGGGCCCGGAGGAAGAGGAGACAGGCAGCAGTGAGGACCAGGTAGGAAGCCAGGGTCCCCAGACCTAATTGTACCTCTAGACCCAAATTGTAACCTAGTCCTAACTGGGCCCCTAAACTCAAATTGGGCCCTAGTCCCAACATTGACCCCAGATCCAAATGTCCCCCAGATTCAAATATGCCCCTGACCAAGTTATTCCCTAGATTCAATATGTCCCCAGCGCCCTTTGTTTTCCTGAGCCTAGAGTCTAGACCCCGGCTCAGGTAGGAGGATCCTGTGGCCACTCCCTCTCACTAAGCACCCTACTCCAGGGCCCCATCATGCACATGGACAGCAGTGACCTGGTTCTGGATGAAGAGGGGGCTCTGGAGACTAAGGTGAATGTTGGAAGGGAAAGGACTCCCTTCTCTGTGTCTCCAACGCTTTCACTACTTCTGTCCCTTCCTTTTTTATTCTGTTGCCCACAGAGCAGGGATCTAGCCCCCTCTGTCCTCTTTCTCATGCCTCCTGGGCTGTCTCACCCACCTCCACATTCTCCGTTTGCTATCTGCTATCTCTGCCCACATATGTGTCCTAGCCTTGTACTCCATCTTTAGCTCCAGATCAGGGTTCCCTCTGTCTGTGCTTTCCCTATCATACTCATGTTTCAGGCCTCCTGGTTGCCTCACCTTGGTTGCCTCCCTAGGCCCCTTTCACTTACCAGGTCCCACACTTGCCTCACATCCCCAGACTTGCCCCACCTTTAGGGTCCCTTTTCTTTCTCCTCTGTACCTGGCAAATGCTATTCCGCTATTCTCTTGGCCTAAACCCCTCCTAACTTCCTTCCCATACCTACCTAATTCTCTCCTTCAATTCCTCTAGTCTCAATTCATACATTTCTGGTTCTACAAAATCTTTCCTTCCTTCCTTCCTTCCTTCCTTCCTTCCTTCCTTCCTTCCTTCCTTCCTTCCTTCCTTCCTTCCTTCCTCCCCTCCCAGCTCTGATCATTCTGTCCATGTTTCGCCTCTCACAGCCAGGACCACTCTGATCTGGGCTTCTCCATCACAGCCTGATCTCTGTGCTGAAGGTTCCCCCATCACAATCCCAATCATCTTGCCTGTGCTTCTCCATAAAGTCCCATCATCACAGTCCCAGCCACTCTGCCTTACTTCCCCCAGTACAGTGCTGACTCCTTTGGGCTCTGTCTGGTTATCTGTCACTTCTCCTTTGGCCTAGTATCTCCATGAGGACAGGGCCAGGTCTATCCAGCAGCTGCACAGGGCATGACACAAAATCAAAGCCATGGGGCTGTTGGGCAGATGTGTGAATAGATATCTTGGTCTCAATCTCTCTCTCTCGCTCCCTCTGCACCTCCTTCCACACCACCATCCCTCAGCAGGCCTATATCCTTCTGTCTCTGTCTCTTTCTGCCCATCTCTTTCTGTTCTTTTCTCTCTTGTCACTGTGTTTGTCTTACTTTGTCTTCCTACCAGTCTATACATCTGTCTCTCTGTCTCTGCCTGCTCCTCTTTCTATCTTTTGCCTCTCACTAGGTCTGACTCAATCTCCATCAGTGGTCCTCACTCCCCTATACCTTCACATACTCACAAATCTCATTTGTCTCCTCAGGACCCAACCAACGGTTACTACAAGGTCCAAGGAGTCAGTGTGAGCCTGAGCCTTGGCAAAACCCCTGGAGATGGCCTCTTCCTGCCACCCTCTCCCACCCTTGGACCTCTGGGTACCCCTCCTTTCTATGACTTCAACTCACACCTAGGCATGCCTCCCCCCTGCAAACTGTATAGAGCCCAGGCAGGTTATCTCACCACACCCCATTCTCGAGCTTTTACCAGCTACATCAAACCCACATCCTTTGGACCCCCAGATATGGACCCCAGGACTCCCCCCTTCCCATATGCTTCCTTCCCCACACCCAGCCACTCTCGTCTCCAAACGCATGTGTAGCATCTCTCCAACTCAAAAGTGCTGGGATCTTCAACTTGCCATAACAGATTGTCCTGATTTCTAAAGAACCAGAACAAGTTAGCGAACCTACTCCTCCAAAACTAAACATTGAGGAGAGTGATAGATCATTACTATTGCCTAGGTTATTGATGGACAATTTGCTCAGCCAAAGGGGATGCCCTAAGTGGGAGCAAGATGGCCACTATGTCCACCTATTCCCCTGTATAAAAGAGATTCAAGATGTCAAATGGTCCCTTCACAGAGGAATAGAGATGGGGTGATGGGAGTTAGAGGCAGATGTAGAAGTTGTTCCCAGACGCTGAAGGAAGATATTTCAAGATGACCACTTGCATTGAGAAGAAAGATAACATAGGGAGATTAAGATGGAGCCCAGCTGGTTTGGCTCAGTGGATAGAGTGTCAGTCTGAAGACTAAAGGGTCCCAGGTTCAGTTTCAGTCAAGGGCACATGCCCGGGTTGCAGGCTTGATCCCCAGTAGGGGATGTGCAGGAGGCAGCCTATCAATGATTCTCTCTCATTATTAATGTTTCTATCTCTCCCTCTCCTTTCCTCTCTGAAATCAATAAAGATATATTAAAAAAAAAAAAAAAAGATAGAGGCCTGACCAGGTCCTGTCCTGGCTCTCCGTGAGGCACACGTTGCTTGGCCAACGGAAGTGAAGCCAAGATGGCAGTTCACTCCTTGGGAACCCAAGATAGACACCATCTTGATCCCTTCCACCTTCCTTAAAGGCCTGGAAGAATTGGGTCCAAGGAGTGAGGACAGGCTGAGATTGTCACTGGAGGGGGTGGAGGTGGAATCTGGGGATGAGAAGATATATGTTTAATTTAAAAAATTAAAATTTGTCTTTAGGATTCTCTTGGCATTAAGGCCCTTCCTCTACCCTAGGCTCTGAAGTGACTCTAGGAGCAAAACCAGGAGCCACACCTAAGCCCCTTGCTACCCGCTTAATGCTTTGGGCTCTTTTAATATACATCTACACAAACATACATGCACAGATGCACACACATGACAGGGCTACTCCACTGGGCTTGGGGAAGACAGGATTCTACACTGTCATTGCAAGAGACAAAGCAGTAAGCCCTGAAGGGGAGGCTGAGAGGGAGAGGCTAGAGGTGGGGAATTAGAAATTCCCTGGTCCTTAGAGCAAAGATTGTCCTGAGGTGCTGAGTACCTGACTTGTGTCATCTTTTAAAAGGGGGCCTGGGAACTTCGTGTCATGGATCCTTGAGCAAGGAATTAAAGTTCCATACAGCTGAGAGCCTTGGGAAGCAGAGCAGAAGGCCTGGGACTCTTGGGTCTTAGGGGGAAAGGGCTGGCGGCTTGGTCTCTGGTTCTGATAGGAAAGGTTCCTGGGGCCCAGACTCCTGAATCTGAGGAAGAAGAGGACCGGGTGGCAACTGCTGTGTTCTTGATTGGGGAAATTTTGGAGGACTACATTCTGGCAACTCAAGAGAAGAAATTTGGTTGGGGTTGGGAGCAGGGTGAGGAGGTGGGTGTTGTCTTCCATGCTGATAATTCCTGGAAGAGAAGGAAGCTGATTTGTGAGTGTCTGAGTCCGAAGAAGGACACAAAATCCATAACCCAGAGCCCATGACCCAGACCTCCGGCTAGATCCTGGCATGGGGTGGAACACCTGGAATCTTAAGGGAGTGGGGGCTTGACGCAGGCTCCCACGTGGCGTTGGGGAGCTGCTCCTGCCTGCGCAGAGCGGGCACGCTATTGTCCTGGCCAGGAAGGCGGGGCCGGCGTGGGGCGGGGCTGGAGGCGCCGGCGCAGCCAAGGGGCGGCGGGAGGAGGTGGCTGTGGCGCTGGGAGCTCCTGTCACCGCTGGGGCCGGGCCGGGCTGGGCGGGAGAGCTGGGGACGTGAGGGCGTGAGAGCCCAGACATGGGGCACATAAGCCCCGCCATTCTCGGTCTGGGCCGCCGCCGGGCCCCGCCGCCGCTGCCGCTGTTGCTGCCACTATTGCTGCTGCTTCTGCGCGCGCAGCTCGCCGTCGGGAGCCTGGCCGGTGGGAGCCCCGGCGCGGCGGAGGTGAGGACTGGGGGTTGGGGGAAGGGGCGGGACCCGGCCTCGACCCGACGCGGACGTGTCCAGGGCGGAAAGTGCAGTCTTTCCAGCCAGGTGGACCCCCCCGGGTCCCCTAATGGCGCTAGACATTCACTAACCCAGGAGTCCAGGCCCCAACCTCCCATCTTGTGTCGTCCCAGCCACCCCCCGCCCCCAGCATAGGAACTGACTTTCCCAGAGCTCCTGGTCCCAGAAATCCAGCCCCTCAGATCCTCTCGACCTAAGCGACTCAGCCCCAGCCCCTGCCCACCTGAACATATGACCCACCAAGCAATAAGGCACTTAGATCCAAGAATCTGGGTCCCTTTTCATCCTCTGGGCCCTCCCAGGACCCAGGAGTTTAGGCCTCCAGCCACCGCTCTCCAGCCCTCAAGGGTTGGTGTCCAGGCCTGCAGCGTCTGAAGCCAGGCCTTGTCTTCATCTTTGCACCCAAGAATGGGAGCCTGAGCTAGGGATGGAGGGAGGAGGGGCCAGAACGTCTGGGTTCTGACCTCCTCCCCAGCGATTCAGGTTTAACCCCTTTTGTCTCTAGCGCGGCTGCGCCGGGGTGGGCGTGAGTTTGACTCAGCCACCTCCAAGGCGCGAGAATCCTGGGGGACCCGGGTCGCCATAGCAACAGGAGAGCTGGGGCGCCCCGCCCAGTAGTAACTGTATCCCGGGAAACGGTACCTCTACCGAGGCGGGTGCTCGGTGCTTGGTGAAGGGGCTGGTTCTGGGGTCTAAACCTCTGAGTCCTAGAAAGCGAAGGACCCAGGGACCAGCGTGCCGACGTCCCCCGGCCCTCACTGACCCCTTCGCCCACACACCCAGGCCCGGGGGTCCGCTCAGGTGGCTGGACTATGCGGGCGCCCAGCCCTTCATCGGGACCTGCGCACGGGCCGCTGGGAACCAGACGCACAGCTGTCGCGGCGCTGTCTCCGGGACCCGCAGCGCGCGCTGGAGTACTGCCGACAGGTGGGCGCGCCGCCGCGAGGGGCGAAGGCGGCCGGCGATGGGCGCGGTCTAGCCAGACTGGTGTGGGTTTTTGTTGTTGTTGTTGTTTGTTTGTTTGTTTCCCACCCAGACTCCTAAGGCCAGGAGACCAGGGATCTAAGAAGGCTAGGCAGCCAGGGGGCGTGGCCAGAGGCGAAGTTAGATAGGGCGGGACCTGTTTTTAAGAAAAGGTCACAAAACAAAACAAAAAAGAAAAGAGAGAAACTAGGTCAGGAAAGAGGAGAACCGTGCAAAGTCCGGCTAAGGAAGGTGACCCAGTGAAGTGGTGGGCTCCTTAAAGAGCAGGTGTATAGGGAGGCGTGGCCAAAGGAGAGGGTAGTCTGACAAAAAGTCCCTAGGGACCTAGAAGATAGGAAAAGGGGTGGAGCCCAATTAAAAAGTGGAAAGCTAGGAGGCGTGGCTATGAAAGGAAGGGCTATTACAAAGAGAAGGGACACTGAGAAGTCTAACGGGGAAAGAGCGAGGCTTAAAGGTTGGTGGAATCTACGGAGAGATTAACCTGATTGGGGAAGGGCGGCAATGTGACCAGAAGAGAGGTGGGCGTAGAAAAATTGAGTTTGTGGGTATATGGAGAGACCTTTGAAAAGGAACTGGCCAGGTAAAGGGGAGAGGCCTAAGGATAGCGGGGTGCGGGGAAGAGAGAGGGAGGGGTAAGGGGGAGTTACTAGGGGCGTGGCCAATGGGCCTACGGGACTTAGATATCTAAGACGGATTTTATGAAGAAGCAGGGCCTAAGGAGAAGAATGCCTTATGAACACTGGAGTCTTGAAAAGGGACATGGCCAGAAGAGAAGCGTGACTGGTTGGGTTCTAACAGTGGGTTGATTGCCCCACCCGGTGCCCACAGATGTACCCGGAGCTGCAGATTGCACGTGTGGAACAGGCGGCGCAGGCCATCCCCATGGAGCGCTGGTGCGGAGGTGCCCAGGGTGGCCGCTGTACCCACCCTCACCACCAGGTTGTGCCTTTCCGCTGCCTGCGTGAGTCATAGGCTGGGGGAGGGAAATGGAGGTGGGAGTCTGAGGGGGAGATCCTGGGCCCTGGTCTCAAGGGTCACATTAGAGAGCTAGATGCTTGAGTCCTGAGGGGGGTAGAGAAGCCTCTGAGGATAATAAACCTGGATTCTGAGGAGGGTAAGGCTAGTGGCTATGAGAGGATCTCACTCTGGTGCCCCCATTCCCCAGCGGGTGAATTCGTGAGTGAGGCCCTGCTGGTGCCCGAAGGCTGCCGGTTCTTGCATCAGGAGCGCATGGACCAGTGTGAGAGTTCAACCCGGAGGCATCAGGAAGCACAGGAGGTCAGGACCCTGGCACATTCATCCTCACACCCAGAACACCCCCCTCCTGCAGAACCCAAGAGTCTGGGCCTCTGCCCCCTCTTCCCATCAGGACAGAACCAGTAATTCAGGCTCCCAGCCCCATCAGCCTCCATCACTCAGGCATCCAGGCCCCCCTCGTTTACCCTCTCCTACCCCACAATCCTGGTATCTGGACCCACTCTTCCTACAGGCCTGCAGCTCCCAGGGCCTCATCCTGCATGGCTCGGGCATGCTTTTGCCCTGTGGCATGGATCGGTTCCGAGGTGTGGAGTATGTGTGCTGCCCCCCTCCAGTGACCCCTGACCCATCTAGGACAGAAGTTGGGTGAGTGAGAGGGAATCTTCCCTGCCCATCCCAAGGCTTCTTGAGGCAGGAGTTGGAAGCCTGGGGCCTGGACCCAGGTTCTTATTGCCTTGTGTCTTCTGCTCCCTCAGCGACTCCTCCACCAGGTCCTGGCCCCCGGGGAGCAGAATAGAGGGGGATGAGGATGAGAAAGAGGAGGAATCCTTCCTACAGCCAGTAGACGATTACTTTGTGGAGCCCCTACAGGCTGAAGAGGAAGAAGAGGAGGAAAGAGTCCCACCTTCAAGCTCCCATCTTCCTGCAGGGGTCAGCAAAGGTGAGGCCATTTCTGAAGGGAGG